GTGTGAATTCTAGTGCATCACACTGCAGCCAGAATGCTCCTTGGAAGTGAGAATGGCCAGACTTCATCTCACCTACTTTGGTCATGTAGTCAGAAGGGACCATTCTCTGGAGAAGGATGTCATGCTTGGTAAAGTAGAGGGTCAACGAAAGAGGGGAAGTCCCTCAACAAGATTGACACAGTGGCTGCAGCAATGGGCTCAGGTACAGTAGGGACTGTGAGGCTGGCAAAGGACAGGGCATGTTTCATTCTGTTGTACGTAGGTCACTATGAGTTGGAGACAGCTCGACGGCACATAACAACAACAGCACTGCCTCAGTGCAGACCCTGAAACTCCTCTCCATTCTTCTGCATGTGATACTATGGGTGATCCACTACTAATAAAAAAAGGGGATCAATGTCTTCCACGTCTTTGCCCAGCTTTGAAGAGACCATCCTATTCCTTAAGCCTTTGCAAGGTCATGTGGTCAAGATTTAGGATGCCAGATAAGACAGCTTAGGTCCTATTATCTAAGTCAGCAGGCCTTTTGAGATTATGGGACTGAGCTGAAAGTTTTCTCCATCTTTTGAGCTATTTCTCTTTGTCTTTATTTATTTATTTTAAGAGAGATTTTTGTCTTTGAAAATCTTTTCTTCTGTGATCTCTCAGAACTCACTTTTATAGAAGCTGTCTATAAATACTGATGCATCGTTTTGATATTTATGATTCTACGGCTGAGGTCATAGATGTTAGAAAAGGGAGAGCATAGAAGTTAAATATTTAGTAGCTTTTTAAAAATCAGGTGGCCATATGCCCTTCACTTTTGAAATCTGAATTTATTTAATGACACAAAATTCAAGAAATACTTGTATGAGTCTGAGGCTCCAGGATTGCAATATTTTCACTTTCACTTTTAGAGGTAATGGGCTATTCTATTTTGGGACTTCCTGAGTACTTTTATATTTTTTAATTTTTAAACTTTTTTATTTTTATTGTTGATGATTAGAATATATGCAGCAAAACATACGCCAGTACATTTCTCCATGTACAATTCAGTGATATTGATTGCATTCTTCAAGTTGTGTAACCGCGCTCGCCCTCCTTTTCTGAGTTGTTCCTCCCTCATTAATGTATACTCAGAGGTCCCTAAGTTTCCTATCTTTTGAGTTGCTATTGTCACTTCGATTCCATATAGATGATCCTAAAAGAGGATAATGCTCAAGGTGGCCATCCTTTACCAGTTAAGCTAAAC